CACGTGCTGATGATAGAGCATGATAGTTTTGTCAAGAGCTAGGAAGTCAAGCAAGTTTTTGGCAAACTCAGTGCAGTTGACCCAAGAGACCTTACATAAGAAACTAGAAGATTGGATCGGTGTTCATTTGTTTTGTTAGGAAGCAAGAGTCAAACATAACGTTGCTTCTTCAGCAACCCAACCAAGCTTTCCAGAAGGAGTTTTAGTTCAAGGATTCATTGGTCATGGCCAGTGGCGAAGCTAGAACAAATTAGAGGGGGTGCACTTGCCTTGTGGGTGCATAGACGTGTCTCATAAGGGGTGCATATACGGTGGAATTCCAATCAAACTCACTGTTTTTGCAACCAAAAAAAAAAAGAGGGGGGGGTACACAAGGCAGCTTCGCCCCTGGTCTCATGGCTAATTAACAGGACTATGAATAAAGTTAGAAGAACATAACTTACAGTTCTCGTGGTGACATCATGGCATTTTCTGGAGAAAGTTCATGCAGATCCATGATGGTTATTCACACGCTTGACAGGCACTGAGGCAGCTCTACCTGGAATATTCTTTTAACAAGGCACCAAGGATCAGTTTCACTTTCACCGTCATTTAACAACATATTAATTAAATCTGAAGGCAAAAGGTACGATTACTAGTATTAATTCAAAACAGGCACCATACATATATTCGAAATTTGGGATCTAGATAGCTTTTGCAATGAGATGGTTCCACAGGATTGTTGATGATCACCACCTTCAGGTGCCTACCGTATTATTAATAATGCAAGCATCAAGGCAGGAGTACCCTCGCATGTTCCTGATTTCAGCAGCACATCCCACGTCCCAAGGTACTAGCAACCATAGAAATTTGAGAAAAATGTAACAAACAATTGAAAAAAGATGCGCCCATGTGCAGACCAAATTACGATGGCAGCAAAGTCAAGCAATCCAGCACAAGCCCACATCAATTCCATTTTCTGAAGAGAGTTGCAACGCGTACAGACTTTTGAGCACCTCCAGCTCCAGGTTATATTATTTAGTTCATCGATTAGATCAAAATAATCAAAGGACAAAGGATTGCAAGTTTGGCAGTAAAGTTTTACAGGGTATGTACAACCAACGAAGCATTTGCATCTTAGCTGTTATGTGTTTATTGTGTACCTGAAGCAAGGGAGAATAGAAATATGCTACTTTACAAAAATGTCCATTCAGACCATCATCCTAGCACTTCTACCATAATCTTCCTCCGTTGAGATGTGTGGCGATTAATGTTATTATCTTCTTTGAGAGCTATCAAACCTACATTGGAACCAAAGAATCTTCAAATAGTGCTCTTCAAATGAGCAAGTGTGTTTTGCGTTTCAAGAATTTATGGGCTATGCAAAGGCCCATTTTGCACGTCTCACGTCTCCAGGTGAATGGTATGATATTTGTATTTCTTGCAACATCAACCTAGGATTTGTTTCCGGTATGCTTTTCCCAATTCATCATCAATGTTTATCTGGAAAAGAATATACAAGAAAGTTAATTCAAGATTGAGTGCCTGAAACATTTAGAGCCCATTTTTGGTAACTTCAACAACTATGTCCATCACACAGCTGTCTATGCAGTAGCAATCCAGCAGCTTGTACTAGATAACAGAGGAAGTAGTACCTCATCATGAACCGTTGATTCAGATGCATCAACACTGTATCCCAACAGCATTAAATGACATGTCTACACACAATAATTGCACCGACCATGACATGGTCCAGCTGAAAATAGCAGCATACACCTTTGACATGTTCTTCTGTTTTAATAGTTCTTGAATGTTCACACTTATTGGACATCATTACTGCTGATACTTCAGACTACAATTTACACCCATCATCTTTGTTTCAAGGGGGTAAAAAAAAAGAAAGGGAAAGGGAGGGATATTTAGTTTCCTCAATTGTGGTCACTGGAGGCACCAAAGTTCTATTGATAAACAGTGGTGAAGCTAGAGTGAATTAGAGGGGTGCTCTTGCCTTGTGGATGCATATACATGTGCCACAGTGGGTGCATATATGGTGAAAAGTTAGACAAAATCATTGTTTTAACATTTTTTAGGGGGTGCAACCCCCTAATCCCAACGTGGCTTCAACCCTGCTGATAAAGACAACTCCTTGTTCAACATTTGATTTGTTGCTGTAGTATTTAGGGCATTACCGTCCTTACCAGATAAATAATTGAAGTACTATTTCTTTTCTTTTTTTTTTGCAAAAACAGTATTCGTTGTAAGCGTTATACATGGCCGTCATATGTAGGTTCTGCATATTTGAATTATCAGGCACACTTTCCATGACATATTGACATACAAAAAAAAAAAAAGTACAGAGTATGTCTGAATCTGGGCATCAGAAGCCTCAGCAAGCATGCTTGGAACTGGATCAAATTGCTTTCCGGATATGAAGATGAAAGGTGAAACCCAACTCTGTTGACTACACCTCCCCCCCCCCCCCCCCACCCCTCTGCAGCTGAAAAGTTTTCCCTCGATGTCCTATATTTGCACACCTGATTCTTGAAACCAATAGGCCCATCTTATTTCCTACCTGCAACATGCCTATGCATATTGGAGGAAATCAAGATTATTTAAATGATATTTTTGTTGAGATATTTCTAGCCCTGTGCTTCTCCTGTAAAATATACTTCAGCTTGTTAGAACGGCTCCTTATGGCATTCAAAATCGATGGATTCAAGATGAGCAACTCAGTGAACATACATAACCACGGAAGGAAATTTGGAGAACCTGGGCTCCACCTCACTGCATTTTTTTTTGGGGTGTTAGCCTCACTTAATCATTGTTGGACTGCTGACTTAATCATGCGTGTTCACAAGAAGTGTCTGGGTCTCAGTGCTATCCTTGGTGGGATTGCAGCAGCTAACTCCAGGCTCAGATGATCTTGTTTTCACCTTGTAGTGGCGTCAAGCCTTGCAACAAGTCCCTAAACAGCAGTGCAAGGGCTTTTAATTCATTGGCCATGTTGGAGGAATGGTAGATATGGAAACAGAGGATTGGTTGCATCTTTGAGGGTGTGTCACCTAATTTTAGCATTGTCATGCAAGGCACTGGAGATGAGGATAAAATGTGGTGTGCTGGGTGGGTGGGTAGGAGGAGGGGGCACAGGCCTTAGTAGCATATGGCCGTGAGTGTTTTGTTTGGTTGATGGTTGTAATCTAGTTTTGTTCGGTGAGCCCTTATGTATACCTCACCCAAATGGACAAGGGACTGTACAAGTCTTCTTAGACTCATTTTCTCCTCCTTAATAATAATGGCGCACAGTTCTGTTGCATGTTCGAGGAAAAAAATGCATTCCTAGTACTCCCTCTGTCCATTAGTCTCCTTCGTCTACACAAAAAAAAAAAAAAAAAAAAAACAATAGTCTCCCTCGTCTAAGTTTCTCTCCCCTATTTTTCTTCGTTTACTGCGCTCAATACTCCTCGTATGCCAAGCCGAATAAATACGTTGCCGCACTCCCGTTGAGATCTGTTAGCTTCCCTCCGTCAAGTACGCTTTTCATGCGGAGGCATGCAGCATGCAACGATTGCATGTGGGATAACAGCGTTTGCATCTGCTTAGTATACTTTACTACTCAAGAAAACAAACAGATGCCGGGCATTAAAGGGAGAGCTGGGATTAAAGGAAAATCTGCACGCCACAACTCTTCCTTGGTCATTGTGCATGAGACTTATACGATGGAGACTGATGGACGGAGGGAGTACAACCAAACAAGTGTTGTGTCCCTCAAGTTACTTCAATCCAGATGTCACATGCATGGCCCAATGGATAATGCTCTGTAAATAAGTTATTGGATCCAAGGAAAACCACAGGTGACCTGGGTGCCATTGGTAACACATGGAATCCACAGAACACCACCCCTAAGCTTTGTGTCCAGTCCATAGAATAACCACAGTGGAGCTTTTGCTTCATAGTTCATATACACTACTAACCTCTTCCCTTATCTATTTTTTTTTTCTCAACCAAAAAACGTTTGTCCATTGAATGTTTTACCCCTGGCTCGAACATAATACCCACCTGACTGAACTCATCACACACTGATGCAGATGTGACTGGATGCCCGGGAGCCCTTTATGTATGCCTATGACCATGTTTACCTGGACATGTATGGTTGCATGAATGTGGCTAGGTTCCATTAATAGTGTGTGATCATAGTGTGTGATCTATCATGTATTTCTTAATTAAAATGATATGTGGCATGTATTAATAGTTGATTGCTATGATTGCAAAAAGGGCACGTTCAATTTTATTGTCTCCATCCACAGATATGAAAAAAAAGTCAAACTATGTTTCACTCCATCCTGGTGCTCCAAAGCATGTTGCTAATAGGTTGGACTGAACTGGATTAGACTTATTTCTAGACAGGGCAATAATCCAGTCATATCGGCTTTTGAGCTGAAAATTTTTGAAGTAGAGAAGATAAGAGGATAATGGCATAGTATGGGCCAGTTATAACTTTTGAGTGGCATTACATGGATGCCAGCCTTAGGAGTGGGTATTCTGTGGACTCCATGGGTTCTGGGTGGTACGGTATGAATTGGCCCCAGTGAACATTGCAGACCTATCACAATGAGCACCAAGGTTCGCTAGAGCCACAGGAAGAAAACATGGGAGAGAAGGCTGAACCTATTTGTTTTGATTGTTTACATCAAAATTCCTGGATGTGCAAAGGAAAGGACTCGAGAAGTACTTCAGATTTTAGGAACCATGAAGATATTCACGAATCATGGTGGTTGACAATTTAGGCAACACAATCAAACAAAACTGTAGAAGCTAACTGATTATGCAGGCTGAAGAAAAAACTTGAATGAGAAACATTTCCCACTTCAAATTGATTACTGTTGTTTGAGAACTTTAGTACACTTCCACCTACATGCTAAAAAGAGATGCTCTTCTATAGAAGTAAATAACAAGAGACCAGGTAAGTAAATATTTTAAAGAAATAAGAGCAAAATTGCGTACCTGGTGTTATATGCAGCTGTTCAATATAGTCCTAATATCTTCAACTCTGTAACATGGTTAGGATCAAGGTCTGGCACTTGGTCAGCTCCTTCAAGATCCTCTACAATATACTCCTGACAGCAACGGAATATCAAATGTCAAGCAGAATATTTAATACATGTTTTATGGGCTAAATGAGAAGACAATAAGCTATAAGGAGAAAAGATAAATCAATCCAACTTGCTGAATTTTCCTCTTGCTTTCACAGACCTTGGTTAACTCTTGCTTTGCAAGAACATGGTAATGCCGCTCAGTTATCCTCTGTCCACATATTATAGCAATGAAGAACCCATACAGCAAACCAACCAAAACAATAGCCAATACTGCAATTTGAACAACTTTTCAAACATTAATCTTTTTCCTTGACAAGCATTTCATGTGAAGTACAGGTAAAATTTTAAATTCATGTAAACATACAGCAGTTGACAAGGTACAGATGCATATCAGTGCTTCTACAATCAAATTTGTTCAGTTATACTCCTAGTAGATGACAACAAAGGAGAGACATCTAGCATTGCATTCTCAACCAGTCTGCCAGAGATATAGCTATGTATGTGCCTTGCATACTTTTCAAATGATCTAACCTATTCATCACTGGTTTATCTTGAGCACATAAAATTGCTGTGTTAACTATGTCCACCTGCAATTTTATGAACTGCCAAAAAAGATCCATAGAGTTCTAACTAGGTTGGTATGCAATTTGTGGAATCATACAAGATAGTGTCCATGATTACACTAGTAATACTGTGTAACCATAACACATTAACATGAAACAGAATGAATGATCCTTTATCTTTAAGGTTCAAAGATGCTATATCATGAACTACACCAAGATAGTACATGTCCCCAGTCCTCACTTCTCACAATGGGTAAGAGACATAAGGCAACATTAATTACAAATCATATCCAATAGTAGCTACATGAAACATATGGCATTGAAAATTGAATCTAAATCAGCATTAGGCAGTTCCAGTAAAACAGAATACAGAAGTATTGGCTCTCATTCAGCTTCAAAGTAAAGCAGCTGTTCAGGAAATTTCCCAAACTAAAGTTGAGACCAGAATACAATATGCACACAATAGATCTGTAGATGTCACTATGAAAAATCATTAAATTAACTTACTCGCCATGGCATAGAAAGCATATGGGTGCTCTTCATAACCAAACATTTCTCGCAGTTCATCTCCATAAAATCTGTAAACCACCATACCCATGAAAGCAACTACCTAAAAGACAATAAGAAAAAACAAGATTATAAGAGCGAAAAAGATGTATATAAGTGTGCAGTTCACTATGATCGTCCAGGCCTCTTTCTTGATCATGTAAAATACTGTGTGTTGGTCTCCCATGATGTAATCATAAAGAATACCATGTTCTTGCTCAAAGTAACCCACAAGGATGAAAGGGAAAGGAGATGAACTGAGTGTAGATAACCACACTGCAAATAGTTTGGATCATGCATGATGCTCATTTTTTAAATAATGCAGAAAACAGAAAAATTGATATGTATTTGTAGCTGCAGCTAAATCAATGAAATCTGGAAAAGAAAGAGAAAAGATGATTCAGCTCAAAATAATATTAATACAGAATCACTGAATCTGTTGCAATTATCTATAAAAGGTGTGAGTATCTTACCAGTTGCACAATAAAGAAGATCAATGTGTGATCCCTAACAACCAAAAGTTGAAACTTCAATCTTAACCACCATCGATCAGGAGGAACATTTGCACGAAGAAAGAATGCAGCTCGACATTCAGTGCAATGTGAAAATGCAAAACCTTCCTGGGTGATGAGTTACAAACATACTAGGTTAGAGCCAACTGGACTAATAATGATGATTAGAAAGTGTCTAAGTCTGTGCCGTGTAGAGAATAGATGCTCTAGAATCCAGACCTTTGTTGATCTCCAGTTATCAAGACAGGACCTATGGACATACTTCTGTGTTCCCTTGCAACGGCAGGGCGCAATCAAGTCATCACCTACTCCAAGCGGGTATGCAACAAAACAAACACAAACTAAATATTAAAAAATAACAAGGCATTTCAAATTCCTTAACAACTGTCTGTCTAAGAAAAGTTCTCATGGAGTAAACCTTCATTATCAAGGCAAATCCGGCACTGAGGAACGTCTTGAATAACAAGGTGAGTTTCTTCATTGGCATCAATATTTTCATTGTCACCATCAACACTAACTGGATTGATTTCAGATGAGGCTAGATGCTCCGTTGATCTCTCTATCAGGTTTAGTTGTGAACTTGTTGGCTGCGAATCCGACACTTCTGCGTGATCACAGTGGGGCACAGACTGCATTGTTTCTTCTGTTTGAGTGCCATGAGAAGCCAACTGCATGATAAACAACACCCAAATCATAGCCAGACATCACCAAGCAAGCATTTTGCCAGGCATTTGATAAAATCAGATCCTGCAAGATAGTAAATGGCAGGTAAGTCACGTATCAATAAATAGCATGTGCTGAAAGGTTAGAACAGATAAACTACAGGTTAAATAAATCAACACCATGTAAAAAATCAAGCCAATTAGAAGAAGATGCACGGAATTTATCGTGATGGTTTTAAGTATGGCTAACTGAAAACTAAAGTTTGGTCTGTAATCAGGGGCTCAGGGCTATCAGTCTCAGTCTCTCAGATATGGAGATGATAAGTTGTATATTCAATAACCTAGTATATGTTAATCGCTTAATCAGAGCAAGGATTAGCCCTCATGCTTTGATTAGCTAGTTTTTTCAACATTTATTGGGTAAAACCATTAGGTTTCAACTGGTTTTGTGTTACTTGGTTTCAGATTTGATGTTTGATTGTTCCATCTGCTTTACGTTGAAGTTTTGTGTTACTTGGTTTCAGATTTGATGTCCGATTGTTCCATCTGCTTTACTTCGAACAGTTTTGTGTTACTTGGTTTCATGTTTGATGCCTGATTGCTCCATCTGCTTTACTGGAGTTGACGGATAAAGCAGCTATATGGTCCCATCCCAATATCCCATGTTGGGAGCCTATTTTACTGTTGTTTATAGTTTTGGTTCGATAAGAATTAACCAATTCGCTGGATCGTACTAGATTTTGTCAGCCACAACTAGAAAATGCTGCAAAGTTGCTACACGGGGACCAGTGACCAAGGCGAGTGTCACCTCAACCCAGCCAGCATCAATGGATGGAACCAGGAAAGGAGGGAATCAAATTCCAACAGTATATCTGCTCGAACCAAGTATCTCTAGCATGCCACCACCATATCTAAAACCCCACAAAACCCCCACGGCTCCAGATACCCATATCCCAGTTATACTGTCCCGATTCCCCCGCTACCTATGACGCAGCGCCAATCCCAAGCCTTCAACTGCTGGGTCATGCCTGCGCATGGGTGGGTCGAAGCGCCCTCCGGGTCCGGGATGACTACCGTACCGAGGAGCAGAACGCGAATCGGCGACCCTAAAAGCCGCGGCCGGGCGAGAGGACGGACGGAAGAGGCGCAAGCGTGCGTACCTCGTGCGCCCACCAACGCAGGATGTGTCTCCCTCCAATGGGGGTGGGTGGGTGCGGGGGGATCAAGCGGAGGCGCGGCGGAGATCTGAGCGCCGGGGCGAAGGTGACGAATAAGCGGAGTAGCGGGACAGACGGGAGAGGAGACGATTGGCCGGAGGTATGGACGGGTGCGGCCGGCGGGGGGAGGCGGCGTCAGCTGTCTTGTTCTGGAAGGGAGGAATCGAGACCGGAGACTTGGAGACGAATGGGGGACTGCTGGAAGATTGGGAATGGAAAGGGTTGGTTGGCTTGTCCTGTTGCTCGTCTTGTTCCCTTCTCCTTCTCCCTCCGCGGCTCCGCGCCCGCCCCGCGCCCCCCTCTGCATCTTCGGGAAACCTTGACGCCTTCGGTTTGGCTTTGGCAGGAAGCAGCATCTTCAGGATCCCACGCATTGTGCTTGTGCAGCTGCAGGTAGGCTACACCCAAGTTTAGTCTTAGGGAGTAGGGATAGGAATAGGATTAGCGACTTAATGACTAACCAGATGCAATCATAGAAGTTGCTTTATTCTTGAGTACAATATGATATGAGTATGTATTCTTGTTGGTTGTTGTTTTGTCTATACTTTATGCTAAACATAAAACATTTTTAGATCACTTTTAGTTCAGTCTACGAATATATACACATGGATCCCGATCTAGAGTCACGTCAAACAGACATCTAACATAAATAGAGAAACAAAGTGATCCAGCCTTTGATAACTAGAGCTTGTGCCATCCTATCTAGTCCCAACCATGGAATTAGTCGCTTGTACATCTTCGTCAAGGGCATGGCTATCGTTGTTGTCTTTTTGTAAAATTTGTCATGTATAATTGCCGTCATCGTGTTTTCTACTTAATAGGAGGTAAAAGTGAAGGTTAGAGTTTCAATTAAGCGCATAGCTACATTGATGATCTTGTCCTTTTTCTTTAAACTGACTCACCTCTTGAGACGCGGGATAAATCAAGATATATAAAGACAAAGGTGCATGGAAAAAAATAGTACAAGTACTTTTAACATCAGAGTACATTGTTCTTTGCTATAATATTCACAATCATATGATCTATAGTAGGAGAGTTGTTGACTATGCTAAAAAGAAAAAACCTAGATTGGGCTATACAACTGAGTAACAATGGCCCTAAAAGGTTAAGCAACAACGGCAACGACAACAAGCTAGGCTAACAACTAAAAGCAACTAATCATGGGCCGGTTAGATTGAGACCTCAACACGTACCAACAACATCACTCGTCAAAGCTCTATAGCACTCCACTCAACACAACTTATCTCTATAACCACGGTCACGCCGCAAAGCACCATCCACCATTAGTTAGCTTACCACGCAGCACTCACCATTGCTCTTATTAGCCTGTCAAGGCAAAAAGCCATCATCACCACTTGCGTCTCGTTGTCACCAATGAAGTCCCACGCTACGCTAGACACCACAGTCCGTTGCAAGCCATGGTGCTGTCACGCCATCAACTTTGCTTGTGCCGCCTTGTCCCACACCAGACTAACCTCTGCAATAGAGGGTTTAGTCACCGTAGTCCACTACCAGCCATGAAGCTAATATGTGAGCAACAGCCTCTGACAAATGTCAGGTCGTCCATTCGTCTTTGTCCCCTAAGGTTCTGCCACATACAACGTACTCCCTCTGTCCCAAAATATTTGTCGTTTTTTTGTTTCCGTACCGTAAGTTTGACTCGATTTGTAGAAAATACGTGTAACATTTGTATCTCCAAATAAATTTATTAAAAAACTAGATTCAAAGATCTTTCCAATAATACCAATTATGTACTATAAATATTAATATTTTTTAATATATATTTTGTCAAAGTTGTTTCTCGAGAAGTGAAAACAATAGATATTTTGGAACGGATGGAGTAGCTCGTAGCAACCAAGTTGCCTCATCATAGAAAGCAAAAACATGACACGGAGCGCCTCTAAGTGCCAATAGAAGACCTTGCCACGCAAGCCACTCAGCAAAGCACTTCCGCTGGCCCACATTCCGCCACCACTGACACCCACACCTCGACTCCACGCTACCTGCCCTCCACCTAGCTCAACACAAATCCGCTGAGACCATAGACATCACCAATGCGCACAAATGTTGCCATTTCCTATACATCAAGCTCTCAGTATCACTCTGTGAAACAAATTCCTGAATCTCCGGCTCCTACTCAACACTAATTGGGCTTGTCTTACAGCATGATCTGAGAAGAAGCCAGTGCACGCAACGAACGTACTAAACCAGCGCAAGGGAAGCAAGGATGAACCTCATCAATCACCTCTTCTTGGGACGAGCTCGCTGCAGGTTCCTGCTCTGCTCCTGTGTCAACACGCCACCAGCCATGCAGGTTCCTCTCGGAGGCGAATCCATCGTCCGTCGAAGCCGAAAGCAGTAGTAGCCCTGCAACCACGCAGATTCCGGTGTCGGACGCGCTACAGAACCTCCACCTCCGTCTCCGTGCGGAATTCGCGCTCCACCTGCAACAATCACTCGATTGGGAGTGCGGAAACCGATCCTTCTTTCTGGTTTGGAATCCAAGAAGCTCAATGGCAAGTTCGATCAGACACGAAATCTGGTATAGCCACCAGGCTAGATAGAACTGGCGGGGGAAGAAAAACTAGGAGCGAGCCACATTGGAGATGCTCTAATATAGTCACAAGTTAGACCGCCCGTTCGCTTGATCGTATCAGCCATACTTATAACAAAACAGCATCAGTCTGCTTATAAGCCACAGAAACGATCAAGCGAACAGGGTGTAGGATGCCATCTTTAACTTGATTTGTTGCTATAATTGCTCACGGTCAATGGTTATTTAGTAAATTCAGTTTTGTTATACTTGAGAGAGAATGAATCTGCTGTCATCCATTTCTTGGATTCTAGTATTTGTGAAGTGAATAACGCTGATTTTAAGAAGGCTAAACTGTAATTTTGTTTTTTGTGGGTTAAGTACTCTTATTTTGTTTGATCTTTATTCCAGTCATCGAATTATTTTGTTTGATCTTTATTCCAGTATTTGATTTTCCTGTAAATCAGGTCAGAGCATTTTTTTTGGTAAAACTAAGGTCAAATGCCACAAAATATTGCTTCATCTCTATCTATCAATGGGCAGTGTTCCAGAAACTGCGTTCCACTAGGAACTACAAATATTGCATCATCTGTTAGTCGGCAGTGTCTCGTACAATTTGCTCAAAACAAAATAGCAGTTCACAAAATTTTCATTGGCATGTCAAAAATGACAACCATTGTCATTAGTCTAAAAAACGGACGGAGCCATACATAAGTTACAAAACGAATTGTTATGAAACCTAATCAGAATCAGGGTCCCCGTCGACAATATCTGGCAGCGAGTCTTCAGACTCTGACTCAATGCCAGACTCCGAACCAAACAATTCCGCAAAGCTGGTTGAACGGGCCTCAGGTGCTTGATGGTGGCTTGAACCAACACCTGGAGTAGCAGAAGGTTCACCTGAAGTTCCCAGCATGCTGCTGGATGGCAGATGGACAGCTGCTGGGCTTTTGTTCTCATGAGGACTAACCTGCTCAGGAAATACCACATGCTTACGTGAATCAAAATTTGATGTGCGCACTGGGGAGGCACCAACATTGGAAATCGACAGATTCTCCACTGTGTGTGGCTTAACAGTTTCGTCTGCAGCTGCATCAACCATCTTGACATCAGTCTTGCTCGATGTTGGTGCATCTTGTGCTACATCTGTGATTCTGGGTGGGTCAACTTTTGGATCTTCTGCTATGGGATTGAGCTGATTTCCATCCTCCAGCATGACATCT